GTCCTCTGGGAGGTTCAAAACCAAACACTAAGCCGGGATCATACACCAGAAGCCTAAACCTGGGAGGGTTGGTGGAGCTATCGCGGCACCTCGCGGTAGTTCTTCGGGGGGGGTTAGCATATATATATATATATCTGTATACATATGTATAGATACGTATAACATAAGGTATGTAACCTGCAAACCGACATCTAGTTATACGCGGGGAATGACTGGAGTATACAGTACAGCATCATGCACCTGCGAGAAACGGAAAGGGAGCACCCCATAAAGCGACGAAGGCACCGGCGAATCGAAGCCAGCTTTCGAAAAACATACCACGGTCTGCATGCGAGGGCCTTCGATTGAAGTTCAGGAGTTTGGTGACTGCTTTGGGACTATGTCCTAGAGTCTTCCTCTCAAGCTCCCACTTACAAGGAGCTAAGAAAGGCAGCTTGTATGTTCCACAAGCCCATAAACACCAGGCCGGACCCCTCCATCTCCCCCACCGGAAAGAACGGAAGCCCTCCTACTATTATGATTATTAGTATTTTTATAGTTATTTTTGTTATTATTATTATTATTATGATTATTATGATTATTATGATTATTTTTCTTGTTATTTTTACGTTCTTATAGTCCTATACTACTTATATGCTTTTAAACCCTATGTTTGAAGCCCTTGCATGATCAGGCCGCGTTAGCCCCTCGTCCTGCTCGCCGGAGGACCCAGCCAGGAGCTGCTCCAGCGATTTCAGGGACATCCTTGGGTCTTAGTGCTTAGGGTTTCATGATGTTTCAAGTAGCAATCATTAATTGGTGGCTGTCCTCTCCTCCACTCCTGAAGAATGGGACAAGCTCACGAAGTATACCTCAATTTCAATCAACTGTGGCGAAGGGAGAAGCCAGCTATTTTACAGTGCCTCCTCGAACTTGGCAACGATATATCCAACATAATTATTATATGGGTAGCTCTCTAAATTGGGGTCGCCGTTCGGTCTGTCTTTCAACGTCCTTTTCTGGGGACGGTGTAGAGAACTCCCCATATCGAATCTGCGGACCAGGGCAAGAAAACCAAGGCGTGATATGATTTGGGGGTTTCCGAAAATAGGGGACCCTAATATAGTACCCTAAATAATAGGATCCTTATTATAAGGACCCCAAAATAAGGTACCCTAATTTTCGAAAACTCCAATTTGGGATTCCCTTTACCAGGGTTTAGGAGACAAGGGCTTGCTGTGAGGCGCTGCGCACCTTAATGTACCCACACCGGAAGCCCCACTCCGAAACCTCTTAACCCCCAACCCCCTTAATTGTGTAGGGGCAGCCAAGCTACGAAAGCAAGGGGTCACCGGCCACCTGGGGCCTCAGTAAGTCGCAGGAGGATGGGTTAAGAGCAGAGGGCGCGGAAACAAAACTGGACAACCCACACACACACACACACACGCATGTACGTGAGTACGTACAAACATACATATACACTTTTCGATATCTCTCTCTATATATATATATACACACATGCATGCATGCATGCATGCATGCATGCATGCATGCATGCATGCATGCATACATACATACATACATACATACATACACGTATATATATATATATGACAGAAATCAATGAAGAGAACAATACAG